GAAGGAAATAATCTCCAAGATTTCTTATATGGACAATTTTGAATAGTATCTTACCAAAGGGTGATGTGTCACCATTGTCTTTCCTAAACAAAGTAAATCATATATCCGAGGGAGGGAGAAAAAAGGAATGTACAAGCATTTGTTCATGGTGGTTCAATCAGCATTATTGGAATGAGGGGGACAGAAAAACAAACAAATATATCTGTTTCCTGAAAGCAAGCAGTGAACATAAAGATAAATTTGCTAGTGGAATGTAGACTATTATGTAAACTTCCTTGTAAATTCTGTACATAGTTCATTGAACTGTTCCCTGTTGCGTGGTGGTCCTCAGCTTTGGGTGAATGTTCAAAAAATCTGAGCATTGTAAATAATGTAAGCTTATAAGGTATTTGCTTTTCTTCATGAAGTGAAATGACTAGTGATTTGGGCCCAAACCAGAATCTTTTTAGCTCTTGCTCTTTCTCTGCCATTTTGTGTGTGCAGTTGTGTAACTCTGCTGCAAGCCATAGCCAGGTGTCTGTGATCACTGCCTCATCCCCCTACCCCACTGAAAGGGACAGCAGCTGATGAGAAGGCTGCAAGCCTGTGGGGCTTGGGAATAGCGCACCAGCAGAAACAGAAACTGTAGCAAGCTGCTCCTTGAACTGCATCATAAAGAGAATTGTCTTTATCAGTCATTCATGGCTATTCATATGTTCAGATACTGAATTATTCATGCCGTTGAGGGGGTCAGGAATGGAAGAGATATTCAAAATCCACAGGTAATCCAAAGCTTTATTTGCACCAATAGCTTTAGCTTCTAACTTGTTCCCTTCCAATTTCCCAGAACTTCTATTAAGAATAGAAGTGAATGGATGGGTTTGATCAGGGTAAACAGCCAAATGTCCAAATGATGGGAAAGAATAAAGGAAGAGACAGTAAATGATTGATAACACCAACAGACTGAGTCATTCCTGAAAGATCCAGAGGTAACCATGTCATTATTTTTTAAAGGCAAAGAGAAATATTGTTATACACTGGGAATTGAAACTAGTCTTTTTGAACAGACATGGTATTCATGCCTGTAATTCCAGCACTTTGGAAGGCCAAGGTGGGAGAATCACTTGAGGCCAGGAGTTTGAGACCAGCCTGGACAACATATCAAGGCCTGTCTCTATTTAAAAAAAAAAAAAAAAAAAAATTAGCTGAGCATGTTGGCATGCACCTGTAATCCTAGGTACTTGGGAGGCTGAGGTGGGAGGATCGTTTAAGCCCAGGAGTTCAAGTGAGCTATGATCATGCCACTGCACTCTAGTCTGGTCAACAGAATGAGACTCTGTGTCTTTAAAAAAAAAAAAAAGAGAGAGAGATAAAGAAAAAACCTATATATATATATATATATATTTGGGATATGTGTGATATGTGCTAATTAAACTTAAAAGAGTCTGGTAATTAAATGTTCTCAAATACATTTCTCCCAAGTATTGGTATTCCTGAAAAAGTCTTCAGAATGGTGGGATATTATGCCACAAGATGTGTTTCCATGCAAACTGGCAGTCCCAGGGACAGCAATGGTGTATATAGAAATTTAGAATATCTAAACCAGCTTGTTTCTGAGTAATGTTTTAGAATGGACATCATCTTTCTTGGAGGTAAGAACTTTGCAAGGTAGGACTTTTTGTGCCAACATTCTAAGTGCCAGGAGAGTTCAGTAAACCATCACTTTGAGATATATTGGTTCTAAAATTTGCCACCTAGGGTCCACCATCAATTGAGAAAGAAAAATGCTTTGTTTGAACTGATCAGGTCAGTCAATTACTAGTTCCAGAACACACTGTGCTTTTACTGTAACCATGCTTTCTTTTTTTAAGATAACTGAAATCAACTAAATAGACAGAAAACATAACTGTTGGAGACTGCAATTTCACCAAAAGCATTTGAAAGGAAATCCTTTTTAATAAAGGAATTGCAAACCAGAGAATAATAAGCTCCGGGAAGGATAAGGGTAAAGAGTTTTGTGCTTGTTATTACTTCTCCTATAGCAAGAATTTCTTATTCAAATTGAAAGGGTCGATCAGTTGTTTGGGTGTTTTGTTTGGTTGGTTGGTTTTGTTTTGTTTTTTTCTAATTAAAAAGTCCTTGTTACATCAAGGGACTCATAACCATTCCCTTTTGGCCCCTGGATACTTTGCATATCTTGAAACAACCAGCACTTATCAGGAAGCATTCAATCCAGTCAGAATTCAAGGTGGGAAAAGTAGGTGTATTTCTGAACCATTTGGGAAGGAAAATCATTCTTCTGAACAACACTACCTGCATTTCTGTTTCTGCAGACAATCGAAAACCAACCAATAAAAATTAAAAAGTGAAAGAAAGGCCAAATAGCATTATTCATTTGCCTTAGGTTTACAGGGTCATAGATTCATTAGCTTAATACAACCTCATTTGGATGCCAAAGGATGAGCAAGGGCAATCAGTATTGCTAAGTGGCTCTTGCTTCTTCTTCCTAGGTTTGTTTCTCAGAGAAACAGGGAAGAGAGGATATTTTCTAATATAATGTTTATAGGGACAAATTATTAAAATATGATATGTGCGCATTTTGCAAGTTTTACTTGTGTGAAATAGATTACCTCTCCTTTCTTCTTCCCTTCCCACACTGTATACCATCCTGCCTCATGTCAACCCAATGAAATTGATTCCATTATTTTTCCTCTTTCTTACTTCCAAACCTCATAAGCTATCTTACCCATGAAGAGCTGAAAGTTTTGACTTCTTTGGACTCAATTGAATTCACTAAAACAATGAATTTTAATAATTTTTTCCAAATTCTTATTCCTATTGCTTTTAAAAGTCCTTTGGAGGCAGGTTGTGTAATCATAATAGCCTCCTCTGAACTGCCTTGAGTTATTTTTCTTTTCTGCTTTTCTGTCACTTATGTAAAGAGTACATGTGTTTACATAAACCTTCTCTCTCCCAGCCTATTTCAAAATAAAGTGGAAATAAAAATCTTTAGCTCAATCTTACAGAAATTTACATTATCTACCCCAGAGTTTGAAGATAAGGCCATCTCCTTACATTGTAATTGTAATATAGTGAACTTAAAGTGTATCAATCCTTTATCAAACTTGTTTATTCATTCGCTTTTTCAGTCTTAATTAGGCCCATTTTACAATTTATTATTATTCCTCCTAGAAGGGCTTATCATTCAAATAGCACACCACTAGTTACAGACTATCCTCTAGGAACTTGATCCATTTCATCTTTTTTGTATATTACTCCCATTACAAATTTCTACTTGTATATAACACCCTACCCACTTCCCCTCAGCCTTGCAGACAACCTGCAAACTGTCTGAATTTATCCCATAAAAATATGTAGAACACCTGTTTCCTCTACACAGCATTTATATAGATTTGGAAGAGAGATCTAAACATATACCAAACAATATGCAGCCTAACCTTGAAAATTTAACAATAAATGAGCATCATGATGGAGAGAGGGAATTCACAGTGGATGGAAAACACCTTGGAATTATTAATACGATTGGGGACCTGGCTTTTGTGCTGTCTCTGCCACTGCCCAGGTGCATGACTTTGAACCTGCCACCAGATGACTTCCAAGTTCTCTTCCAAAACCAAATTTCAAAGGTAATTTTAGAGAAGTTCATTTGTATGGGAGGTTAGCAGAAAGATACAGGAGCACCATGGCCTCTGCTAACATAACCCAACTAATGTAGTAATAATTCTTGATAGCACGTCTTTGAGAGTAAGCCATCTGATATCAAGTGAATTGAATTCAATACCTATTCATACTCCTTTAAAAATATATAGCACATACAGTTACATTTGCAAGCCAAGTGGAAATATGTTACTATTTTTGTAATTTTCTATAACTACAATATTTCCCTTTAAGAGTCTCAGATAACACAAATCCTTTTAGATCCCTGGAAGATAAAGATGCCCTTAAACCATTCTCTGTAATTCAATCAAGGAACAGCCATGAAACACCCCATCATGGGTGGAAAAGCCAATCTCTAGTAGCATCTAAGCCCAAATGTTGTTGCAGTGCCCTCCTCAGTCTTGGACCCCACACTGTCTTGTTTCCTGAAAGTAGAGTAGCAGATAATTTTGAGCTCTCAGGCAAGAAGCAGCTTTCCATCTATAATAGTTGGGAAGAAGGTCTTTAAAACCTCCGTTATTCAACTCCTTCCACCCCGGCTCACTTAGTTAACTTCTTACCTAGTTAAATCCACTGGTGTTAGGCACAGCCATGACGAAACTGAAAGTTTATTAATTTGTGATTAGCACTCTAGTTACTCATGTTCTTCAAGCATGCATGAAGAATTCCAGTCTCTGAACATGGTCCTCAATACAATTTCTGCAAACAGATGTTCTTTTTTCTTTGTTGAAAGATACCTTCCAATTCTAAACTTTCATGATTTTCCTGAGTATTTCCTGACCATTCAAGCTTTTTCCACTCTACTAAGCTGTCTAGATTTTATCCATTTTACCTTGATGATCCAGATTTTGGGCAGTTCAAAAATAAGTGGAGGTAGGGGGCAAGAGAACTATTCCCACTCCCAACAGATAAATATCAAGCTCAGTAGACACTCTGCGTCCAGTTTTGTTTTCAGCTTTTTCCATCTGTTCCACCCACCTGCTTCTCCATACATAAAAGCCTTTCCTTATTCTCTTGAGAAAACGTATAGAAGGAAAGTTTGCACAGCAATGAAATAGCCTGAAATGTGCTCCAGTCCTTTTTGGTTAACATTATTGTTAGACCATATGACCCAATTTGCCTCAGACAGTCTCAGTGTGTAATTATTAATAAAACTCCCTTTCATTCTCAAAATTGTCCATGTGAATAATAAATTATATGGCCACCATAATTATGGGGTCTCAGCGACCTGAAGGGTGTGGAAAATATTAATACATTTAACATTAACACACTACAGAAAACATGTCTTGGCTCCCTATAAATCATTTAAGTCTGGCCCAGTCTTCTCCACTACTCATACTCACCTTATTTCTCCATGAGTTCCTTAATTAGCTGCAAGCAAGCTAATCCTCAGGTCTTCTTTATCCTTCCACTCCAACATCCATCCACACATCATCCCAAAATGTTCTCACTGCTGTGCTTGAAGTTTTACATTTTATTTCCGCTGATTAGATATTCTTTTTCCTAGCCCCATCTCAGTCGTGGTTTATGAATCAGGACAACATCATCCAAAATGCTGTCCATGAGCACCCTGACTCATTCTCTTCACTCTCCTGTTAACACTCCCTCAATTCTTGTGGTCACTTTATTCAATAATTATGACAGTTTATTTGCACATTTCTAGTTTTGCAAAGAGATATTTTGCCTCCCTTTGTGAGGTCCTTAAGAGCAAACACCACATTTTCTAATTATTTTGTATTGTCGAAAGCATCTATTGTTCTGTCCATGGCAGGGTCTATAAATGCTGATTAGATGACTTACAATGAGAAATGCAGCAAAAGAGAAACACTTCTTCATAACAGGCAATATTTCAGGATTATAGATAATACCTTGTGAGACAGATGACATCCTCTCTTAAGTTATTTTAGTCCTATAGAGTCTATATCTACAACCTCTCAAAGAATAAAAAATGCAGTCGAATGTATAGTTGAACCCAGGTTTGTGTCTTGCAAAGTAGTCATTGAGATTTTTTTCTACTGGGATTTTCTAAACAGACTAAATCCTGATAATACCACCAGTATAGATTCTACCAGTTCTAGAAGAATTGAATATTCCCTCCTAATCACTGCTGCTTTTCCTTTATGGAAAAAGGAAAGTTTTCTTTTATGGTTTTTCCCCCACTGTTTATCATTGTTTGCCTTATTAATGGCCTTTTAAATCTAGGTTCTACAGGGTATTTATTCTTGAAGCTGGGGCAACACTGTATTATTGATGGAACATTCCCATGTGAATCCTAATACTCCCAGAAGGTACTGCACAACAAATCCTATTTCTGCCAAGATACAAATAGAAGATTTAGAACTATATAAGAGGAATGGACAGTTCTTGACATTCACCACTGCTTCTCAAGAGTGCATACAATATAATAGATGTACAAGGAAATGCATTTTCTGCCTCTGCCCCCTTTTTAAATTATTAACTTTCCAATTGTCCTGTTAAATAATTTACTAATTTGCATACAAGAAATGTATAATTTGCAAGCCTTACCTCAGAGTGGCAATCAACCATCCCAGTTTACTAGATAACATATTTTTCTACCTAATACTCCCCAAATAAACTGAATTGAAGTGTATCTGCTTTTTCTTTTTTTAAGCTAATTAACTCATTGTTGATCTGTTTCTTACATCTTTTTAAAATACTCACTGGATAAAGCTTGAAATTTTACAACAATGCCCCTGAGACAATTTTAGGGAAGTCCTTTGATTATTCTAACTTAACTTCAGTGTCATGGAAAACAATTATATATCCAAGTGTTCTTTCATATTCAGAACATCCAGTACTCTTCCAAGAAGGGAATGTTCATTATATACACAAATATTTATTGACTTGTGTTGCTCAACTCCTTATCTCAAGGAAAGTCAATAACTCTCTTTCTTGATAAAAACTACCACGTGAGCCAAGCACAGTGGTTCACACCTGTAATCCCAGCATTTTGGGAGTCTGAGGTGGGCTGATTGCTCAAGACCAGCCAGGACAACATGGTGAAAACCCACCTCTACTTAAAATACAAAAATTAGCCAGGCATGGTGGCACGTGCCTGTTGTCCCAGCTACTCGGAAGGCTGAGGTGGGTGGATCACTTGAGCCCGGGGGGTCGAGGCTGCAGTGAGCTGAGATCGTACCACTGCACTCCAGCCTGGGTGACAGAGTGAGACCCTGCCTAAATAAAGGAAAAAACAAACCAAACAAACAAACCAAAACTACCATGTGGCATTATACAAAGCCAAGATTTCACAACAGTTTTGAAAATTCCAAATGACTTAAATGTTTACAAGGACCAAAAACTTTTTGACATTTTAAAATAAGCTTTTTCCTGTTTACCCACCATGCAGCATGCGGTGCCATCATGATGGGAGCCTGATGGCTAATGTGAAAGGTCATGTCATTTAAAAGGTTAACAGACATGAAAATTGGGAAGTTTAATATTGTTTAATACAAATAAAATTGCTTTTGAAAGAAAGGCATCTGGGTTGAGGGTGGCTTGCTTGAAAACCTATCTATCATCTCTGAATCATTATTTTGCTCCTCTTGACTTTACTCAAGGGGCCTAATCCTACAGTGATTCAAGAGGTTTGAGAAAGCAGGACTCATGAGACTAAAACTTAGGAAATTACTATCCTGCCAGCAATGGGACACCTCTTTGGCTACCGCCTCACCTAAAACTTGATTGAATCAGAAAATTAGCTGAACTTTCCACACCAGTCTCCTGCTTTTTAATTCATAGCATCCTGTACTAAATAGCTGGGGCTTTCAAAAGCAGGTGCTATGTATATACAGAAAGAAATACATACCTTCTGTTGCCTCTCAAAATCCGTTATGCTAAACTCACCAAATATGTTACACGTTAAGCGTCTTATACCTTGTGTTTTTAGATCTCCAGTTACCAATTTGCTGTCTATCCTCCTACCAAACATGATTTAACCAATTCTTATCCTGATTGATATTACAAAATTCTTGTAAATAAAAGAATCCTTTTCTCCCTCTTTATTTTTACCAAGTAGACTTCTTTCATTGCAAATAAACATAAATTACAATATTTTAAGGCTCTTTGACATAAACATCCGCTTTCTTACCTAAGCAGGTAATACTTTTGTATACCTACCAGACCACTAAAGAAGCTAAATGTCAAGAATGAGTATTTCAGTAAAACCTGCAGAAATTGTAATGAAATGGGACAGGTTTAAAAAAATGCCAAGAAAGTTAAAGGTAGACTCCTTACTTTTATATTTCAAGTTTTCTATTTTGTATCAATATATGCTGCATTTTCTGATTGAAACTGCTGTTCTGTCCAATGAAACTTGTGATTTTCTGTAGTTGCTTTTTACATTTGAAAGCAAACTTTCATACTGTGTGTGCTTAACCGTACCCTTTCTGTTAGGGATTTGACTAAAATACTCTAACTGTTTCATTAATTCCTTTTTATGTGCTTAATGTATGTGACATTTATGGCTTTGTTATCTCAAAAGCTATCTGTGGACAAAATCCATGAAGCCTGTTGACTGTGATTTATACACGTGAAAGAAAAATATCAATTTCCTCCTAAGCAGTGAATCAGTGAATAAGAAACTGTTCAGTGGCCTCTGATTCCTGACCCTTTTACCCTTCATGGCCTTTTTTCTATTCTTAATCATTCCTTGAGTAATTGTGTGTTCTTGTAAAATGCAAAATCAATTTACATGCAATCAGGTATGGACACAAGAATTGCTTGTGCTCTCGATTTCAGGACTCAGAGATACCATAACAGTCACAGGACTGGCGTTCACTCAGTACTTTTGTTAATAATGTGGCTTTGCTATAAAATAAGTTGGTGTTTCCTTTGCTTTGGTACTATAACAGTTTAAATGTTGCAGCAAATGAAAGAATGAAAACACATTTGAAAGCTGGTGTCAAAAATCATCAGCTGTACTTACAAAAGTTGTTGTGCAGCTTCTGAAATGTAGTTTATTGCTGTAAATATGTACAATTTATGTTAGCTCGTTTATTCTGAAAACACAAATAAAACATTTTTTTAAGTTACAAATGCCTACATATAAAAAGCTTACTTTGTACTATGTTTTAAAACATGCAAGATTTCAGGAATATCTTTTTGTAATCCTTAAAAATGTTTAGAATTTTGAATCTATCATTTGAGAACTTTTATTATAAAATTTAATACAAAGCTACATCCCTTTATTTGGAAGAAATTCTTTTCAGGATTACTCAGCAATCAAAAAAAAAAAAAAAAAAAAAAAAGATACCAGCACTTTTCCAGGAACTTTTGTCTGTACCACTTTGATTTTTAAAAATATTATTTAAGATAACAACATGCCTTACAAACATTTAAACATATGGGGTGTTTATATTAAAAAAGAAGAAATGAACAGTCTCCTTGTATTCAAAAATAATGCCTAAAACTGACTTATTGGCATCCATTTGTGAGGTGTATTATGTCAAACTTCTTTTAAAATCTCCGTTGTAAATATGAATGTTAGAGTTGGCCTATTTGTCAGACTTCCCTAATTTGAAGACTTCCAACTTCCAAATTCATTCTCTCCCTTGAGAAAGAATGTGTTGACAATAAAACAATGAACAGACCAAAAGTGTGAATTTTATTCATCCATTAACTGGTGATTAGTAGAATAGCTTTTCAATAAAAGTCTAAACTCCAACCCAGGGATGACTTTAACATCCATTTAACAAAATAACTGGGAATTGCCACTTTAAAAGCTGAGTTTTGGCCTGCAGAGCAAGGGAGAGCTGAGGCATCCTACACTGGCTACTATTTCCACAGACTATATTACACAATGGGAGAAATAAATGCCCATCAGTTTTATTTAAATCAGAAAAGGAACACATGTATATGTACCATGTACAGAATTTGCTATGTCAATAAGAGGCCTGAGTAAGATAGGTGTTTAGCATCCAGCATCTTCCTAAACGAAAGTGTTGTTTAATTCAGCAATCATTGAATAGTAATCATGCAAGGGCAATGGGAAAAGGATAGAGTAAAGATATCAAACAGATCTTCTCAGTCTCAGAGAAAATACAGTTTAGATGGAAAGTCCAACTTAATAAACCATATTAGGGCAAATTAGCATATCTACACATTCACAATAATTACAAAGTGAATATGAAAGTATTCGGATAAAAGTATTTTTGTCATACACTGACATTCAAGAGAGTTCTCCTTCAGGCACCTGGGAACATATGTTTGCGTAGTCACTGTATCTGTGTTACTAGTATCCCAGTTATCTAAGTCCACTGCATAATTTCTTTTTCTTTTTTTAATTCTGAAACATTTCAAACATAACCATTGCCCAGATTCCACAAATATCAAAAGTTTGCAACTATTAAGTCACACTTGCTTCATTTAATCAGTTGTGGGGTTTTCTTCTAATGTATTTAAAGGTAAATCTTATCCCTTATGTGATTTCACTTATACATATATCTATAAATTACGGGCATTAAGAAAATCTAACCATAATACCATTATCATACCAAACAAAAATAATAGCTCCTTGACATTATTTAATGAATTTTATTCACATTTCCCCAATTGTCTCCAAAATACCTTTTTACAGTTGTTTTTTCAAGTGAGGATCCAAATGAGGTCTCTTAAGTCTCTTTGACTCTAGAACATTTCCTCTCTCCCTTTCTTCTATGCCAGAAGCTCTGCCAGTTCTGCAGAACGGCCCATGTGCTTACACATGGTGCTATTCAGCTTGGCCATTTTTTTCTGTGAAGATAACATTAGAATTTGCTTCATAGACATTTTGTGAGAATTAAATCAATCCAAAATGTATGAGATTTTTGTTTTTCCCATTTTGTCTCTTCCCACAGAGATATGGAAGTTCATCAAGACAAAAAGAGTTTGCCAAGTAAGTGACCGAGCCAGATGCCCAACTCCAAAGCTCACACTCTGCTTTACACTTAGACATTCTAATTGTTCCGAATATAAACAAAATTAATCGAAAACTCTTGCTGAGCTTCAACATGTTCAGTTTCAATATACATTATGAAAAGTGTACATTAATGAAAAACACGTAGTACTGAAAGAAAATGTACACTGAATGTGTACTATGTGTTTTTCATTAATACAATCATTGTACAGTACAATGTACACTGTACACATAATACTGAAAGAAAAACTGACTTTACCAGGGTGAATTATAATATGATTCTTACAAAACAGAAAGAAATGAAATCCAAAGGTAGCATTTAAAATATATTGTAAAGGGGTGGGGCATGTGGAAAAAATAAATAATATACTGTAAAAACTTTTCCAATATAGAAATATTTAGTGTTTGAAATGAAAGCATTTTTAAAGACTTAAATTATAAAGATGTTCAAAGGAGGAACTGGTTTGCAAAAAAATGTGACTAGAGGAAACTCAAGTGATTACAGAATTTTCCCACCCTCTCTTTAAATTACTATTTCACTGTAAAAATATAAATAAGTAAATAAGATCTAAAAACATAAAAGACCTGCAAGTATGGCAAGCCCATATTTTTTTTTAACTGTCAAGCAGTTTCATTTAAGAGGAAACAGTATATTTAATATATTGCAATTCAGTAGATTATTCCATATTTAATAAATAAAAATGTAATTATGTAACTTGATTTACTTTTTGGGTTGTATTCTGATAATATTAAACCTTTAACAAAAATATTAACATATTTTAGCTTTCTTATGTAGAAGTCTATTTTCTACTAGGGGGAAAAATGGAAGAAACTGAGATCATGGTCTACATTCAGAGAGTGTTTTTACTGCTCAATTAAATTTCTTGGTTTCACATTTAAGACTTTATAAGAAGTAAATTATGTGGTTTTCAATTTAAGAATAGATGAATGCAGAAACATTATGTTGGAAAAAACAAAGACACCCTAAAAAAAAAAAATCCACATACAACTAATGTGCCGTGCTGGAGAACTTAATAAAAAGTAAATCAACTTTTAAATCAGTTAACTTTGGCGTCTGGTAGCACATAAATAAAAGACAATACTTCACCTGAACTCGGTGAAGTTTTCTTTAAAACTTCTTTTTTCTTAAAAGAAAAATAAAATATTTATCATATATCCTAAACAGAAAATATCAGTAGCAGGAGATGTCAATCTTGGTTGGACATTGAGTCTATGAATATCATCATATCACACTCTCAACATAGGTATTAGCTACAGAAGTAACTCGCTTTTCAAAGAAAATAGCATTCTTAACAGAAACTTTAGCTTTATTAGAAGATAATTATGTCCCAATGTTAAACAAATATAACCTTAACTATTTCAATTATCACAGGAATAGGTGACATTATTATCCATGAATTATGTTTGGTTTTGCCAGGCAAATCATCACAAGATAGAACCACTTTTGCTAGACAAGCTGTAGATCAGTCTGTGCGGTACAGCCTACCAGTTACATACTCTGTATCTGCAAGGAGAGATAATCCTCTCAAAGGAGTTTATTTGAATCTGCTCTCCTTTAAAAGGGTCTTAAATATTTTTAGGATGCTTTTTCTTAAATAACCCTAGGCAGAAAATAAAATGCTACATGATATAGCTCAGCTTTTGACCCTAATTCTAAGATTCAATCTTATCAAGCTATAGTTACAGGGATAAAATAAACATTGTATTCTATTTTCTCATCTTCTCTAATGACTTCAGAATTAACATAATTACACTACTTTATAATTAACTGCCCACAACATCTCTCAGGCATTCAGTTCACATTAGAGTAAGAACAAAAATAGATATTTTTTTTCTTAACCTAAAATTTTAATGACATGGGCTTACACTTCCAATCAAGATGGATTAACAGGTACAGAATTTTCCCTTTTACAACAGCTGCCAAAAATAAAATAAAATACCTAGGAGTATATTTAACCAATGAGGTGAAAGATTTCTACAAGGAGAACTACAAAAACGATGCTGAAAGAAATCATAGACAACATAAACGAAACATATCCCATGCTCATGGATTAGAAGAATCAATATTGTGCAAATGGCCATGGTGCCCAAAGCAATCTACAGATTCAATGCAATTCCCATCAAAATACCAACATCGTTTTTCATAGAATTAGAAAAAACAATCATAAAGTTCATATGGAACCCAGAAAGAGTATGAATAGCCAAAGCAATCCTAAGCAAAAAGAACAAATTATACTACAAGGCTATAGCTACCAAAACAGCATGGTACTGGTATAAAAGTAGGCACATACTCCAATGGAACAGAATAGAGAACCTAGAAGTAAAGCCAAATATGTGTAGTCAACTGATCTTCAACAAAGCACACAAAAACATAAATTGGGGAAGAGACACCCTATTTAATAAATGGTGCTGGGAAAACTGGCAAGCCACATGTAGAAGAATGAAACGAATCATTATCCCTCACCTTATACAAAAAAGACCTAAAACTATAAAAATTCTAGAAGACAACATTAGAAAAACTCTTCTAGACACCAGCCTAGGCAAAGAATTCATGACTAAGACTCCAAAAGCAAATGCAACAAAAACAAAACTAAATAAATGGGACCCAATTAAACTAAAAGATTTCTGCACAGTAAAAGAAATAATCAACAAAGTAAACAGACAATCCACAGAATGGGAGAAAATATGTGCAAACTATGCATCCAACAAAGGACTGCTATCCAGAATCTACAAAGAAATCAAACTAATCACCAAGAAAGAAAACAAATAATCTGATTGAAAAGTGGGCCACGACACAAATAGACATTTGTCAAAAGAAGATATACAAATGACCAACACATAAATGCTCAATATCGCCAATCATCAGGGAAATGCAAATTAAAACCACAATGAAATACCACCTTACCCCTGCCAAGAATGGCCATTATTAAAAAGTCAAAAAACAATAGATGTTGGTGTGGATGTGGGGGAAATAAATGTGTATACATTGCTGGTGAAAATGGAAATTAGTACAACCTCTATGGAAAGCAGTATGGGGATTCCTTAAAAAGCTAAAAGTACATCTGCCACTTGATCCAGCAATCCCACTACTGGGTATCTATCCAAAGGAAAAGAGGTCATTATGTGAAAAAGACACTTTAACATGTATGTTTATAGCAGCACAATTCAGAATTGCAAAGATGTGGAAACAACCTAAGTGTTCATCAACTAATGAGTGGATAAAGAAAACGTGCATATACATCAATGGAACATGACTAAGCCATTAAAATGAACAAAATTATGGCATTTGCAACAGCTTTGATGGACCTTGGGTCAATTATTCTAGGTGACATAACAGGAGTAAAAAACAAAAGCCATATGTTCTCACTGATAAGTAGGAGCTAAGCTATGAGTATGCAAAGGAATACAGAGTGATATAATGGATTTTGGAGACACAGAAATGGGAGGGTGGTAAGGGGCTAGGGATATAAAACTACTGAGTTACAATGTACACTATTTGGGTGATGGGTGCACTAAAATCTCAGAATTCAACACTATGTAATTCATCAATGTAACAAAAAAACACTTGTACTCCAAAAGTTATTGAAATAAAAATTACTTTGGAGGTACAGGATTTACACTATGACTTGAAACAATCAAAAACAAAAATAGTCACCCACCCCCCTCCCAACTCCCTGACACACACAAACCACTGGCATTCAAGACACCAAGTATCAGGGAACACAGGATAATGATACCTGAGTGACAGAAAACAAAGCAGGTACAGCCTATGACTGCTCCAGCTTACTTTACAGAGTTTTCAGACCACAGTTCAGAAAGAGGAACCCATGGGGAGCCTGGAGGGCTCCCTGAATTGAGGAAGTATAACTGAGAGTCCAGGAAGACCAAGGCAGCTAGAATTCACAAGAGAGAAAACCAAAGAGGAGGAAATTGCCGAGAAAAACCACCCTAGAAACCTAGAGCACACTGCGCTTTGAGTATTCAGCAGAGTATCAATCAGTAGGTACATGTGAAGAAACAACCCAAGGCTGGAAAAAGAGCTACTTGAAGAAATCAGAGGGAATAGGGTCTGGTTCTCATACATTGCCAGGAATAGTGCCTGTTCCCAACAACTAAATTGGAAAAATCTCTTAATTCACAAGACAGTAGGTAAAGTACTCAAGACAGTCTTGCCTCAGTGATAGGGAATAATTAGCCCATTACTGAGCACTGCACTGGATCTGCCTCACAAATCAGAAAAGCAAGAGCTTAATAGATCACTCTTTCCAAGTAACTTAATTGCATTCAATTCATAACAAAGCTCAAGGATATTTACAGAAATATAAAAATAGCCAACAGCCAATAAGGTTAAATTCATCACATCTGGCACCCAATCAGAAATTACCAGGCATGCAAAGAAAAAGGAAAACAAGATCCACAATGAGAAGACTAGTCAATCAAAACTAACACTGGTGTTAAAATTAAGACTGGAAAGTTATAACTATATGCCATATGTTTAAAAAACTAGGTTGAGATGTAAAATGTGTTTACAAAAACAAAAACCAATATGAATTGCTAGAGATCAAAACTTCAATGTTTGAGATAAAAACACTGGTTTTGACATATTAGACAATGTAAAAGAAATGATAACTGTTCTTAAAGATACAAGAATGAAATGCAGAGGAAAATAATTTAAAAGAATGAAACGTATCATTGAAAAACTGGAGAACTTCAAGCAGCCCAATATATGTGTAATCGTCCTGAAGTGCAGAGAGGGACAAAAAACAGTCAAGAAATTATGACTAGAATTTTTCCAAATTTGATGGAAACTACAAACCTAAGGATTCAAGAAACAAAACAAACTGCAAACACAAGAACCAACCAACCAACCAACTATCCCAAAGTACATCACAATCAAATTGCACATAACCCATGGCGAAAAAAAGTTAAAAAGCATACAGAGAAAAAGACATGGTATTTACAGAGAAACAAAGATAAGCATAATAGCAGTTTTCTCATCTGATATAAATTATAAACCCTCAAGCAAAAATATTCTAAAATTCATGTGGAAATACAAATGACCTAAAAGAGCCAAAACAACTTTGAAAAAGAACAACAAAGTTAGAGGGCTACACTGCCAGATTACAAGATTTATCAATTTATCAAAAAGCTACAGTAACCAAGATGGCACGGTATCGATATCAACATAGACAAATAGATGAATAGAACAGAACAGAGTTCAGATATTGATCTACATGTATACGAACAATTGTTTTTGTTTTGTTTTGGATTTTTGGCAGAGTCTTTGTCATTCAGGCTGGAGTGCGGTGGCACGATTTCGACTCACTGAAACCTCCACCTCCCAGGTTTAGGCAATTCTCCTGCCTCAATCTCCCAGTAGCTGAGATTACAGGCATGCAACACCATGCCCAGATAATTTCTGTATTTTTAGTAGAGATGGGATTTCACCACCTTAGCCAGGCTGGTCTTGAACTCCTGACGTCAAATGGTCAGGCCACCTCGGCCTCCTGAAGTGCTGGTATTACAGGCGTGAGCCACCATGTCCAGCCTGAACAATTAATTTTTGACAAAGGCACAGAGGCAGTTCAGTAGAGAAAGGATAGCCTTTTCAGCAAATGGTGCTGAAATAACTGAATATTCACATGCTAAAAGTGAACTTTGAGCCACACCGTGTGCCATATTCAAAAATTAACACAAAATAGAACATAGACCTAAATGTAAAACTGAAACTATCACATTTCTAAAAGACAATTTAGGAGATCACCTTTGTTAGTCTAGGTTACACAATGATTGCCAAAAGCATGATCCAAAAAAGAACTGGTCAACTGAACTTCTTCAAAATTTAAAACTTCAGCCTTTGAAGACAGCTGGGAGAATGAAACAACAAGCCACAGACTGGAAGAAGGTGTTTGCAAAACACATGTCTAATAAAGAACATCTATCTAAAATATACAAAGAACTTTGAAAAATCAACATTAAGACAACCTAATTAAAAATAAGCAAACACATCTGAATAGACACCTCACCACAGAATATGTACAGATAGAAAACATGCATAAGAAAAGATGCTCAACATCCTTGGTCACTAGGGAACTGCAAATTAAAACAATAGTGAGATACTACTACATCTCTATTAGAATAGCTACAACTCAAAATACTGATCATACCTAATGCTGCTGAGAATTCAAAGCAACAACTCTCATTCATTGTGGAACTGTAAAGTGGAGTAACATCGGCAAGACAGCAGAATAGAAAGCCCCTGACTACCTGAGATCTGAAGTCAACAACATACAGACCAATTTCTTTTGTGAGTAATCCAGACACCAGTTAAGATGCATCTGTACCTTAAGAGAACACAAAATGAGCTGCATCTCCAATAGGAACATTTGTGGCATTCATTCGCCATAGTCCACCTCCACAGCTCAGCATGGAACCAACAGAAAACTCCCAGCTCCTGATTTCTCCCAGGGAAAGGAGAAGTTGCATGACTTCAACATTCTGGGTTTACAGGAGGCTGCCCAAGTGACTGTTTTCTGTCTGGGATTATGGACAGGACTTGGAATACTCTAGATGCCTAGAGGTCGCTGAGGACAGAAGAGAGCTTGGCTGCTTGCTGTCATTCCAGAAGACCTGCAGTACAGTGGAGGCTGATAAAACTTGGTAGCCTTTCCCCGGGAACTGGGTATGGAGGAGAGAATTGTGGAGCATGTATCCAATGTTCTGATGTTTCAGGGCTTCCTAAGGGACTGATTTCTCTCTTGCCTGACTTGGGCTACTGACAGGACCTAGAAAACTCTAGAAACCTTGGGCATCTGAGAACGAAAGAGTGGGGCTATTTGTGACAGTTCAGAAAACCTGTAGTACCACAGACTGACGCCAGAAGGAAAGAGAGATTATGGACATCTGAGAAACCCACAAATCACTAATTGGGAATCTGCACGAAACAACACAGACACAGAAATTTATGAAGAATATTATACAATGATAAAACAGTCAATCACCAGGAA